CTCTGGTTTCCTGTTCTAGGAGATGGTGCTTATTACTGGCCAGAGCTCTAGGTCCACCCCACCAGGTCCCCACAGAAATCTCTTTCTCTCTCTCTCTCTCTCTCTCTCTCTCTCTCTCTCTCTCTCTTAGAGCATTATAGTTACACATAGTAATTGGGTTCATTTTGACAAAATCATACATGCATGGAATTTGATTTACCCATTTCAGTTCCTGTTCCCTGCTACCAACCTTTCCCTCCCCTTCTTCATCCTACTTTTCTCCTTCCTCTGTGCTTCTGATCTTACTTCCACTTGTTTATTTGTATATTTTTGATGGGTGCTTTTTACATATACATAAAGGTGGAATTTCTTGTGTTGTATATGTACATGCATGTAGTGTGATTTTGTTAAACTTATTCTGTATTTCCTCCCCTTTGGTGTCCCTCTTCCCTCCTTCTCAATCTTCTTCTACTGCACTAATCTTCCCTATAGCTTTATGAAATCCAATCCCCCCACCTCTTTCCCCCCCTTGTTTTGCTCTAACTTTTATATATGAGAGCAAACATTTGACCCTTGATTTTCTGAATCTGGCTTATTTCATTTAGTGTGATGTTTTCCATTTCTATCCACTTAGAGGTAAATGCCATAATCTCATTCTTCTTTATGACAGAGTAAAACTCCATGGTGTATATACCTTATATTTTCTTAATCCATTCATCTACTGGTGGGCACCTGGGCTGGTTCCATAACTTGGTTATTGTGAATTGTGCTGCTATAAATATTGACCTAGCTGTATCACTGTAGAATAATGATTTTAATTATTTTGGATAAATATCAAAGAGTGGGGATAGCAGGTCCATATGGTGGTTCCACTCCTAGTTTTTTGAGGAATCTCCATACTGTGTTCAAGAGTGGTTGCACTAATTTGCAGTCCTATATATATGAGTGTATCTTACATTCTCACCAGCATTTATTATTATTTGTATTATTGATAATTTTCACTTCAACTAGAGTGAGATGAAATCTTAGTGTAGTTTTGACTTGCATTTCCCAGATTTCTAGGGTTGTTAAATAATTTTTCATATATTTGTTGGCCATTTGTGTTTCTTTTTAGGACAAATTCTATATAGTTCTTTTGCCCATTTATTAATTGGGTCATTTGTTTTGTGATACTAAGCTTTTTGAGTTCTTTATTTATTCTGGATCAGAGAAGTGTCTAGCAAACATTTTCTGTTATTCTGTAGGCTCTCTCTTCATGCTCTTAATCATTTTCTTTGCTATGCAGAAGGTTTTTATTTTGATGGCATCCCACTTATTCTTATCTTTATTTCTTCAGCTTTAGGGGTCTTTTTAAGGAAATTGGTGCCTGCACCTGTATGATAGAGTATTGACCCTTTGTTTTCTTCTAGTAATTGAAAAGTTTCTGTTCTAATTCCTATGTCTTTGATCCACTTTGGTTTGACTTTGTGCAGGGTGAGAGATACAGATCTAATTTCATTCGTCTACATGTGAATATCCAGTTTTTCCAGCACCATTTGTTTAAAAGACTATCATTTATCCAACATGTATTTTTGGCACTTTTGTCAAGTATCAGAGGACTGTAAATATGTGGGTTTATTTCTATCTTCTAGTCCATTGGTCTTTATGTCTATTTTGATGCCAATACCATGCTGGTTTTGTTACAATAGCTCTGTACTATAATTTAAGATCAGGTACTGTGATGTCTCCTGCATCACTCCTCTTGCTCAGGATTTCTTTGGCTATTCTGAGTCTCTTATTCTTCCAAATGGATGATGAATGTAAGGGCTGTTTTTTTCTTGATCTGTTTTTTTTTTTTTTCTAGATTAATTCCCAAGTATTTTAGTTTTTCCAGGTCATTATAAATAGGATAGTTTTCCTTTCTCAGCAGGATCACAGTTGTAATGCAGGAAAGCTATTGATTTATGAATGTTGATCTTGTATTCTACTTGATTCGTATAGATATAGGATCATGTCATCAGCAAACAGATAAAAATTGACTTCTTCTTTTCCTATTTGTATTCCTTGGATTTCTCTTTATTGCATGATCACTTTGGCTGATGTTTCGAGGACTATATTGAATAGGAGTGGTGGTGAGAGTGTCTTGTTTATGATTGTAGAGGAAATGCTTTTAGTTTTTTTTCCATCTTGTATGATGTTGACAAGCCCAAAGGCTTGTCATAAATGGCCTTTATGATGTTGAGGTAAGTACCTTTGATCTTCTTTAGCATTTTTATCATGAATGGGTGCTGCATTTTATCAAAGGCCTATTCTGATCATGTGATTTGTATCCTTAATTCTGTTTATGTGGTGAATTACATTTATGGATTCATGTATGTCTAGCAACATTGCGTCCCTGTAACAAAATCCATTGATCGTAGTGTATTATCTTTTTGATGTGCTTTTGAAAGGCGTTTGCTAATATTTTATTAAGGATTTTTTGCACATATGTTCTTTAGGGGCATTGGCATTTAGTTTTTTGTTGTTGTTGTTTGTTTGTTTGTTTTTTTGTTGTTCCTTGATGAGTCTTGGGTTTTGGTATCAGGGTTTACTGGCTTCATGGAATGTATTTGGGAGTGTTCCCTCCCTTTCAATTTCATGGAATGATTTGAGAAAGACTGGTGTTAGTTCTTCTTTAAAGGTCTGGTGTAATGCAACTGAGAATCTATCTGATCTCGGACTTTTCTTTTTGGGAAGACTTTCAGTTACTGTTTCAAGTTCATTACTTGATATTGGTCTGTGTAGGTTTTCTATATCTTCCTGATTAAATTTGGGCAGGTCATTTATGTCTAGAAATTTGTCAGTGTCATCTACATTTTCCAGTTTATTGGAGTATAAATTTTCAAAATAAGTTCTGATAATCTTCTGGATTTCAGGGGGTGTGTGGCGATATGTCCTTTTTCATCTCATTTCGGTTATTTGGGTTTTCTCTTGCTTTCTTTTGGTTAGTTTGGCTAAGAGTTACCAATACTACTTATCTTTTAGAAGAACCAACTCTTTGCTGCACTGATCCTGTGTATTTTTTATTCTCTATTTCATTAATTTTGGATCTGATTTTAATTATTTCCTGTCTTCTACTGATTTTGGAATTAGTTTTTCCCCCCCTAAGGCCTTGAGTGGTAGCATAAGCTTATTTATTTGGGATCTCTCTATTTTTTAATGCAGGCAGTCAATGCTATAAATTTCCCTCTTTGAATTGCTTTCATCCTATCCCATAGATTTTTATATGTTGTATCTCTGTTCATGTTCATTTCTAAGAATTTTTTATTTCTAGTCTCATTTCTTCTTTGATCCATTCTTCATTTAACAGAGTATTATTCAATCTCCATGTGTTTATATGGTTTCCAATGTTTTTCTTGCTATTAACTTCTGGTTTCATTCCATTATTATCTGATAGGTTGCACAGGATTGTACAAGTTATTTTGTATTTATTAACATACAACATGGTCTATTTTGGAAAAAGTTTCATGAGCTACTGAGAAGAAAGTAAATTCAGCTGTTTGGGGGTGAAATATTCTTTAGATGTCTACTAGATCCATTTGACTTATATTAATATCATAAATAGCTTCCTTGAATGGCCCATTGCTGATAAGAATGTGTTGAAAGCCCCCAGTAGTTTTGTATTGAGTTCTATCTGGGATTGAACATCAAGAAGAAATATGTATGTATGTATGTATGTGTGTATATATATATATATATATATACACACACACACACACACACACACACACATACACATATGTAAATCTATAAGGTAATTTGAACATCAAGAGTATGTATGTGTGTATGTGTGTGTGTGTGTATATATATATATATATATATATATATATATATATAAAATTAGGTGCACTAATTGGGTTATATATATTTACTATTGTTATATCTTCTTGTTGGATAGCTCCCGTTACCAGTCCATAATGGCCTTCTTTGTCTTATCTGGTTAACTTTTGCTTAGAATCTGCTTGTCAGTTATGAGAATAACTACACCTGCTTGTTTTCAGATTTCATTTGCATGGAATATTTTTTTCCATCATTCTACTTTCAGCCTGTGAGGTCTTTGCCCATGAGATCAGTCTCTGGCACACTGCAAGTAGTTGGATCTTGTTTTTTGATCCATTCTGCTAATCTATGTGTTTTAATTGGGGAGTTGAGATAATTTACATTCAGTGTTATTATGTGCATATGTTTTTATTTTTCTGCCATTTTGGTTTTTGCTATATTTAACTGTCTTAATTTTCAATCAATTGGCTGCTCTTCTAGTGATCTTAATCTCTTTGGGAGCTTTGGGTTTGCTTTTGGTTTCCTCCATTTGCAGTATGTCTTGAGTATTCTTTGTAGAACTGGCTTAGAGGTCATGAGTTCTTTTAGTTTATCCATGTCATGGGAAGTTTTTAATTCTTCATTGAATTTGAAATGTAGCCTTTCTGGAGACAGCAATCTTGGCTGGTAGTTGTTTTCTTTTAGAGTTTCGAATACCTCATTCCAGGGCCTCCTTGATTTGGGGGTCTGAGTTGGGAAGTCTGAGATGAGCCTATTGGTTTGCCTCCAAATGAGAGCTGACATCCCACAGCATTCTTGTCTCAATATCAGAGGGATATGAGCTCTCATGAAGGAAGACAGAGAAGTTCTAGAGGGAACTTTGGGTGGCTTAGGGAAGTATCCACTGCCTGATACTGGGCAAACAGACCTGGGTGGATGCCTGGAGCTGGTGCAAAGTATCTGGTTCCCAGGAAGTGGCTGGGGATGGGGCAGACCTGAAAGTGAGGAGAGCCGTTGTCAGTCCTTTGAAAGTTACAGTGGTAGGGGAGGTGATTTATGCATACAACTGTGAATTCCCCAGTTCTGTAATCTGACTCTGGTCCCTGTGTCTGGTGGGAGGGAAGGAAAGCCCTAGTGTGGACTGTTCATTCACACAGAGTCCAGTGTGGATGATCAGAGAGAAGCTGCAGTGGGCAGGTAAGGGCAGGTGAATGACTGATTCTCATGATCTCCATGCCCCTCAGGCAGAAGAGGAGCGGGATGATATGGAGAGGGTAAAGCTGGATAACAAGAGGATCCTCTTTAACCTCCTTCCAGCCCACGTTGCACAGCACTTCCTCATGTCCAATCCCCGGAATATGGTGAGCACCTTGCTATATGGTTACCACATCCTGTGCCCCTACTGAAGTCTTCTGGGATCTTCTGAAGTGTCAGGGGATCCTGATATTCAGGTGCAAATCTGGTTTGGACCCACCCTCTTTTCTTTGTTTTAACTGGAGGCCTCCCTAGATGAAGGGTGTTGTGATTTAGCAGACTCAGCTTCTCACTGGGCCACCTGGCCTGTGCCTGAGGGCAGGGCCAGTGCTGGGTCATCAGGAAGCTCCTGGGGCCCCATTTGACAGGAGTGTTTGATTTAGTTTTCTTCTCCCCTTTGAATCATGGGAAAGAACATAGTATTTATTATTATTCCATCCAAGGCAAGGAAAATAGGCTTTAGTAAATCTCAGATGTGGTTTCTCAAGACTTAAAAATTTCAAATTACCTTATAGATAATTTTTTGGCCAATACATACCTTAAAAAAATAGAGCATGCCTGGCCATGGAGTGCTTTGTTTTGTTACATATGCTTGAAACCTCTGAAGACTCTTTTTTCCCTTCCTTTGCTTAGTGTATTGGGGTTGTTCAGAACTTCTAACGGCCGTAACTGCTATAGCAATGAGTTAGAACATTAATATAGTAGAAGCCAGGTGCTTTAAAAGGCCAGATTTAAAAATGAAGAAATGTGGATTGGTCTTTTAAGGTCCTAAAGGCAGAAATGAAACCCCAAGTTTCAGCTTTGATCTTCTTTGGCCTGAAGTCGCTCCAGGTGCTAATTGTTCATCTGGCTGAGTTTTGCAGCCATGCAGTGCAAGGCTTTCCTAAAATTCTGTCTTTTCCTATGGCCTCTTCATCTTCCTGGCCTCCAAGAGAAGATGGGACATAGGGGTCTTCCCTGAGGTATGAGTCACATGACCTTAAACCCCTGGAACCTATCCCCCTGTCTGTAAAACAGGCTGGGCCCATGCAGCCTGGATTGTCCCTAGCCCAAGTGCTGCTCTGCCTACCCCTGCCTGGCAAGTTGACCCTTCTGTTCTTGCAGGACCTCTACTACCAGTCCTACTCCCAGGTGGGTGTCATGTTTGCCTCTATCCCCAACTTCAATGACTTCTACATCGAGCTGGATGGCAACAACATGGGAGTGGAGTGTCTGCGACTCCTTAACGAGATTATCGCTGACTTTGATGAGGTGAGGCCATGCTGTATTGTCTGCTTACATCTTACTGATTGGTTTTCCCTGCACCTAATCCAATATGTCATGCTCTCTAGATGTGTAGGGAATAAGCACACACATCTCCTTTAGGGTCCAGGTCAGCTGTGACAATTAAAAAAGGTGGTGTTTACACTAGGATGGGAGACAGGGGCCACTGAGTTGTCAAGAGCTTGACATCTACAGTGACCAGGGCTGTGCAGCTTCCTCTGTAGATGGGCAGACAGTTGGGTACCTCCAGGTACCTTCTCCAGTCAGATACTGTGTCTGCCTGTTGCTGCCGTCACCAGAAACCCCATTTCCCCCAGTGACTGTGAGCTCAGTTGCAGGGACATGGATGGATCTTGACCATTCCTCCTTGCTGCCTTTTTCAAATGCAGTCCCAGAACCTATCTGGCATCCAAAAGAAAGAGGTTGGGTTGCTCTGCACAATGTATTGGTCAGCTCCCGAGTTGCTCCCAATAGCTGATGACTACAATGATGTCTCTCAAATGTTCTATAGTGTTTAACTGTCTTGTTTTTGACAAAGCTCATGGACAAAGACTTTTATAAGGATCTAGAGAAGATCAAGACCATTGGAAGCACTTACATGGCTGCAGTGGGGCTGGCGCCCACAGCAGGAACCAGAGTGAGTAGTGCCCCTGTTGTGCCTGGGCTTGGGTCCAGTCCTGCTTCAGAGGACTCTGGGACCCCGGGAAGGTCCCCACACTGGGGTTGCTTTTTCCCTTCATTGGATCAGGAAAGTGGATCCCAGCTTATTTTGTCAAGTTGCTGGCTCACTCCAGACATGATCTCTTAGGGAAAATCCACACAGAAAGTTGATCACAAGGGCTTCTCTAGCTTTGATCCACCCTCTTATCCCTACTTGCTCCCTCTTCTTCCTTCCAGCACTGCACCACTGAGTATTCTCCTTCCTCAAAGCAGAACTGTGAATATGAAAATAAATATGGTTAATAGATCTATAGCTATTAAATAAATTGATTCAATAATTAACATCTTCCAAAACAGAAAGCAGCAGGCCCAGATGCATTCATTGTAATAGTTTTTTTTTTTTTTTTTTCATGAAGAATTTTATGTATGTATATAAGTTTGTGGTGCTGGGGATTGAACCCAGGGCTAAGCACATGCTGGGCAAGTTCTCTACAGCCCCCAGATGCATTAATTGGCAAATTCTACCATTCAAAGAAAAAAAATTATACCAATTATCTTCAGTTTCTTCCAGAAGATAAAAACAGAACACTGCTAACTTATTCTATGAGGCCAGCATCACCCTGATCAGAAATTCAGACAAAAATACACAAGAAAGGAAAGCTATATACTAGTATTTGTTATGAGTATGCAGTAGAAAATTGAATTCAGTAATGAATGAAAAGAATTATGAACTAAGACCAAGTTAGATTCATTCCAGATATATAAGACAGGTTCATCATTACAACTTGTGTGAACTTCATCACATCAATAGGATAAAGAGGAAAAATTATTTCATCATATTAATCTAGGTAGAAGAATCATTTAACTATATCCAACACTCATTCCCAATAAAAACTAGGTAAACTGTGAATGTAAAGAAACATCCTCTACAAAAAAAAAAAAAAAACAAAAAACAAAAACAAACCTATAGCTTAATATCAATTAGGAACTTTCACCCTAAGATCAGGAGCACAGTAAGAATTTCCTCTCTCTCTAATCCTTTTCAACATTTTAAAAGTCCTATCTAAGCAATAAGACAAGAAAATAAAATGAAAGGCGTGCAGATTGGGAAGAAAGAAAATTGTCTTTGTTTGCAGATAGCATGATTATTTGTGTAGTAAATTTGAAAAAATCAACAATAAAAAAAATCCTGGAACTAGTAAGTGATTCTAGCAAAATTGCAGGATATAAAGTTTAATATATAAAATTTAATCACTATCCTATATATCAGCAGTGAACAATTGGAATTGGAAATTACAAACACTATACCATTTACATTAGCACCAAAAAATGCTAGGTATAAATCTAACAAGATATATACAAGATCTATACGAAGGAAGCTACAAAGCTCTGATAAAAGAATTCAAGAACGATCTAAATAAGTGGAAATATATTCCATGTTTTTGCACAGGAAGAATTAATATTATCAAGATTTCAGTTCTTCTGACTTGATCTATAGATTTAATACAATACTAATCAAATTTCCACCAGGATATTTTATGATATTCACAAAACGATCCCAAGTTTATAATTAAAGACAAAAGGTCCAGCATAGCAAACACAATATTAAAGAGGAAGAACAAAGTTAGAGGACTAACAATGTCCAGCTTCAAGACTGAAAATAAAGCTACAGTAATCAAGAGAGTATGGTATTGGGGAAAGAACAGACAAAGAGATCAATGAATTAGAATAAAGAGCCTAGAAATAGACCCACACAAATATATATAGTCAACTGATCTGTGACAAATGAAGAGAAATGATAGTCCTCTTAACAAATGATGCTAGAACAACTGGATATCCATTAAAAAGAAGAAAAAATATAAATGCAGACCTTGTACCCATCACAAAAATTAACTCAAATAGGTAATGAACCTAAATATAAAATTCAAAACTATAAAATGATTTCTGATTTGGTGATGACTTTTTAGAGACAATACCAAAAGCATGATCCATGAAAGAAAAGAATTTTAATTTGGGGTTTATTAAAGTTAAAAACTCCTACTCCATGAAATATATTAAGCAAATGAAAAGTCAAGCCACAGGCTTGGAGAAAATCTTTGCAAACTACCTGATAAAGGGTTTATATCTAAAATATACAAAGACTTCTTAAAATCCAATAATAGAAGGAAAACAACCTAGTTAAAAAGTGAATCTGAACAGGCAGTTTACCAAAGAAGATCCATGGTAGGCATCAGGAACTCTCATCCATTGTTGGTGGGAAGAAAAATGGTACAGCCACTGTGAAGGCAGTTTGGCAGAATCTTATTACAAAGCTGAACGTAGTCTTATCCATGCTGTCTAGACAATTGCAGTCATTGATATTTATCAAAATGAGATGCAAACTGTGTCCACACAGAAATAGAAATGTGTGCAGCTTTATTGATTGCAGCTTTATTATCACCGAAACCTGTGAGCCCTTCAATTAATGAATGGGTGAACAAATTCTAATATATTCATAAAATTGAATATTATTAAGTGATAAAAAGAAATGAGCTCTCAAGTCATAAAGAGACATGGTGAAACCTTAAATACAAATTACTATATAAAGGAAGCCAGTCTGAAAAGCCTACCTACTTGGGAGCTGGGATTGTGGCTCAGTGATAGAGCGCTCGCCTAGCACGGGCGGGACCCGGGTTCGCTCCTAAGCACCACATAAAAATAAAGGCATTGTGTTGTGTCCAGAAAATAAATATTAAAAAAAGCCTACCTACTATATGATTCCAATCACATGACATTCTAGAAAAGGGAAAATTATGGAGGCTATAAAAAGATTAGTGTTTGTTGGGGTTTGGGGAAAAGGAGAAATGACTAGGCACAGAAGATTTTTAAGGCATTGAAACTATTTTGTGTGACACTGGTGGTAGATGTGTGTCACTGTATGTTATGCATTTGTCAAAACTCATAAAATACCCAACACTAAGAATAAGCCCTAATGTTAACTGTAACCTTTGGGTGATAATTTTATGTCAGTATTGGCTCTTTAGTTGTAACAAGTGTACAGAGGAATGCGTGATTTTAGCAATGGTGGGAACTCCATGTGGAGGAGGGTGGGAACATGAGAACTTTATATAGTCTACTCAGTTTATTTATAAACCTAAACCTGTCCTGAAAAATAGTCTGCTGTTTTTTTTTTCAAGGCATTAGTTCTCTGATGTTGAGGGCTAATAAAAATTTCTTTAGAAAATAAAAATTAGAAACCTTACAACCGTTACTCTTTCATGAAAGACTTTCACACACACATACACACACACACACACACACACACACCGTCCCAACAGGAAGGAGGTTGGTGCTGCTCCCTGACATAGTTCCTCTGTCCTTGCTTTGCTCATTTGCAATGGGTGACGACAGCATTATCTTAGTAGGAATTTGAGCAGGAGGTCTCCCAATCCCAGGGTTCACCAGCCCACAGAGGGGCATGACCAGGTTAGCATGGTTTTAGGAGACGCCTGTCTCTGTCCCTTGGGAGCCAGTGTTGTCCCTGCCTTACTCTCCACCCCATAAGAAGGACTGATAAATGTGCCCTCAACCAGATACCAGAAGCAGCTACAGTTTCCAGGGCTGCTGTGCTTTAATGTAGGAATCAAATCACAGACCCAGGACTGGTGCAGCTGGTCTGTGTCCTCCTGTAATGGCACCCTCCAAACATAATGCTTTCATCTGTTCATGCCTAGGCTAAGAAGTCCATCTCCTCCCACCTCAGCACACTGGCTGACTTTGCTATTGACATGTTTGACGTCTTGGATGAAATCAACTACCAGTCATACAATGACTTTGTCCTCCGAGTTGGTAGGTGGCTCTAGACCTATCCCATCTCTATTGGAGAATACCTTTCCTATTCCTACCTGAGAGAGGGCTGCTGGTTCCTGGTCTTGTAGGAGGGAGAGTGGCACCCAGGAACACGTCACGGACATGGGGACACCCTTGCCTCTGAAAGTGACTTGTGGAAGTATGGATGATTCAGAAAAGGACTTAGGACAAAAGAGTCTTTGTCCAGCTCAGAGACATGCTAGAAATCTAAGTTGTTGCAGAGTTGTTCAGAGGCATACACACTCAACTGGTGGAATAGTGTCTTTTCAGCTCATTGGTGCTATCTGCAGCAGCTGAGGCATGTGGGTCCACTTAGAAAAAGACCTTGGCTAGAGCCCGTTTGTGGAACCCAGGCAACTCCTTCCCTGACCTGTGAAGTGAGGAAAGAAAGCTAGGTGTCTAAGTTCCTTTCTAGCTTTTACAAAACTATGGTTTGTTGATGGGGACGGGATGTTAACTCCCAATTCACCCTTTTCCGAGATGTAGATAGTTTATAAGAAAACTTCATGCAAGTCCAGAATCCAATAAAATCAGATATTTATGGTTACTTCCTTTGTCTTCCAAATGCTTGCTTGCTTCCTTCCTTCCTTTCTTCTAGTCTAGTTAAACTAGACGTTTTTATGGTTGTCCTATAATTCAAATATCTAGTGGCCTTTAAAACAAACTTGGGTGATGCTTGAGTGTGAGGGAGGCCGTTATATACTTCATAGTCATGGAAAGCTGATGTCCTTAGATGCCAAGTTCTGTTTTAGCATGATGTCCAGCCTGAAGGTAGGGGAAGGGTCAGCCACCACCCCTCCTCCCTAGCATCTGGGCCTCCTCTTGAGCCTTGGGCTCCAGTCACTAGAAGTACTGATGTAACCAGAATCAGATTTTGTGGTGGGTTGGAGAGATTCTGTTCCTTCATCTCCCACAAAGGAAGACATGCCGTGGTCAGCAGCCCTTGCAGTCGTACTGCCCAACAGGCTGGTCCCAACTCAATCTCCTCCACCTAGGACGAGGTGTCCAGAGTTGACATAAAAATAGGTTCATAAGCACAGAAAGAAGGGAAGATAAGATGTGGCATCTGCTCCTATCAGACTTGGTCTCTGGGACAGTGCCAGTGGGCTGTGATGAATCCCATGACTGTCCTGCCTAAGGCTAGGCCAGGGCAACACAAGAAGTTTTGTGCCCCATTTACAGGGAAGGAAACCCAGGCCCAGAGAAGGTAAGCACTTTGCCAGAAGTCTCACAAGGGTGATTCAGACTCAGGTGCACCTGGACCTAGTGACACTTTCCAGGAGTACATGTGCTCAGAGGCCAGCTGGACCCCACGCTGCAGAAAGAGAGGGGCCTCCATAGCCTCCCCTCAGAGCATCTGAATTATCATGCCTAGTTCTATGACCCATGCGCTGAAATAGTTGCAGCATTGTACCCTGAGAAAAGTTCAGGAGAAACTGCAGTCAGACTTTTTGGTAGCTCCAGAGTACAATTCCACACAAGAGCCAGTATTGCAGGACCTGGGCTTTTTTTTGGGATTAGGAATTATTTCTGACAGTGCTGTTGCAAATAGCAGTGGAGGGTGTTGTGAGGGGACTGCCCACAGGCCACCTGGGAGCCCTGGGCAGGAACGACTTGCTGCTGCCCCTCTGTGAGTCTGGAGGAGTTCTGCTTTAGGATAGAGCAAGACCTAGAAGGGGGCAGCTTTTCTCCACTGAGGACCTCATTAAACGTACTGGGTGGCCCCAGCCAGTGAGTCCTACTTTTCCAGCTGACCACAGGGCCATACGTGACTGTTTTCTAGGTATCAATGTTGGCCCTGTGGTGGCTGGAGTGATTGGTGCTCGCAGGCCCCAGTATGACATCTGGGGAAACACGGTCAATGTGGCCAGTCGGATGGACAGCACCGGAGTCCAGGGCAGAATCCAGGTAAGTTCACCCACAAATTCCCAAGATGCAATGCTCAAACTGAGGCATAGAGGGCCGTGGGGGGACCGACATATGCAACCCGTAAGTGGTACTGCATAGCTCAGTGTCTGGAGGGTTACAGTTCCGCCTTGGCAATTTGATTTTGCTATTTGATTTGTTTGTGCTGCCTTGTGGGTGACTTTTGAATGAGCAGGTAGAGAGTTGGGGATCACAGTGAGTTATGGGGTCAGGGCCATGCACTAATCCTGACAGCCTAATTGCTCAGTTTCCTCTCTTGTCTCAGGACCTGGGCTCTGCCTGGCTGCCATAGGAGGGAAGGGTTTTACCTGAATTTGAAGGTCAGGGTGCATGCCTCCATATCTGAGGAACTTCTGGACAACTCAGAAGGGGCTGTGACATCTTCTAAGAACCACTGAAAGGACAAAAAGGCAGTGGGGGGAAGGAGTGCCTTTAGGATTCCCCTTAGAGTAACATGAAACCTGGCCTTGATGCCTACTTGGATAAGGCCCTGTGGGCCAGCCCTCCTGCCACCTGACCTGGGCACTGCAGGCCTGAAGGCACCCCCAGAGCATGATTGATCTGTTCACTATGGAATGGGGAAGGGAACAGAGGGCACTTGACAGTTAGGGCTGGTTCTCTCCTGCTGTGGCTGGGCCATGGGAGGGTTGTCTGACTCAGTTCAGTGACAGCTGTCACTGTGTTGCATCCCACTGGGTGTTGGTCCTTCACCTTACCACAAAGCCTCACTGGGTCATCCTGCAGATGACCGTGAGGTGCAAGCATTGGCTCCACAAATAAGACACCAAGTTTCAGCATCCAGGGAAGCAGCCAGCATATCCTCATTCAGTTGAAGAGGCCGCCAGGCAGGGCTCAGATGTTTCTCTGACGAGCATTTATTGGGCAACATCTCAAGGTCGGGTGCTTTGGTTGGTTGTTGGGTTCCACAGTTTTAAGAAATAGACCAATCAGGCACAGTGGCACATGCCTGTAATCCCAGTGACTAGGGAGGCTGAAGCAGGAGGATCAAGTATGAGACCAGCCTTAGCAACTTCAAAAGGACTAGGGATATAGTTTAGTGGTCAAGTACCCCTGGGTTCAATCCTCTGTATACCACTTCCCTCAGAAAAAGAAAAAAAAAATAGGTAAGCCAAAATCTTTGTGGTACTTCCTCTCCTGTCTGGAACATGCACAGAACATCTCTGTACTTCTGCATTATTACTTTTTTTTAATTTTTCCTAAGATTTATTTATTATTATAAAATGTACTGTCATAACCATGTGTAAGAGCACAGCTGAGTGGCATTAAGTACTCTCCCATAGTTGTTCAGCCTTCACTGTCGTCCCTCTCTAGGATGTGCTCAGTACTTTGTTACCATGACCTCTGGCTTCCATTCTTCTGTAGTCTTCCTAAAGCTGGTCACTCCCCAAGGAGAATTTCAAGCAGCCCTGCCCTATCTTCAGGCAGGCCACTGCCCCATGTCAGTGTTGCTGATTCTGTGTTTCTAGAATGATATCTGAGCCTCCCATGGCCTCATCTCCCCTTGCCTGGGTGCAGCCGTCCACCCACAGCTTCCCCTACACCTAGGGCCTCTGTCCTCTCTCCCCTGCCCAGGCATCCTGGTAACTAATGCCAGGGCCCCCACCCCAGCTCTGCCAGGACATGAGAAGGTAGCTTGTGGCAGATTGCATTGTTTTAACTAAAAAGATGGTGGTGGCCACGGAGGGAGAGAGGTGGCTCCAAGAGGAAGCAGAGATCCTGTCCTATGCTGTTCACATGACTCTATTGAAGATAAAGTGCTTCTCATCTTTTATCCTCTCTCTGACTTTGTGAGACAGGAATTCTTGGGGGTAAAATTCTGATTAGAGACTTGATAAAAAGGGGAGCTAAGAGATGACCCTGTTTTCTCCTGGCAATTTGCCTCTGCCCTCTATATGCTAGTGACCCCTACTCCCAGAACCCTGGAGACAGCTGTACCCTAACCCTGGCAACTAAAGGCATAGCTCCTTGTCCCAAGGCTTCCACCAGGTTCATGCAGTCAGGGTGGGAAGTGAGAGATACAGGATGGAATGGTGCACTTGGGGATCCCATTCCCCAGAGGACCCCCGCTTACTGCTTATGACTGAGAATAACCTGGCTTCTCCTTATGACAGGTGACTGAGGAGGTGCACCGGCTGCTGAGAAAGTGTGCCTACCATTTTGTGTGCCGAGGCAAAGTCAGTGTCAAAGGCAAGGGGGAGATGCTGACGTACTTCCTAGAAGGCAGGACTGATGGAAATGGCTCCCACCCCAGGCCTCTTCACTTGGAGCGCAAGATGTGTGCTTATGGGAGAGCTGGAGGCCAGGCCAGACGGCCCCCACTGTGTCCCGCAGCAGGCCCACCAATCAGGGCAGGGCTCCCCCCAGTTCCCACAGGCCAGTACCTGCCACCTGCAGCAGCGGGGAAGGAAGCTTAACCGAACTCACGTTGGCCTCTGGAGGTGCATGCAGGGCAAGAATGCTCCGGGGTGACACAGGCCACCTTGGCTCCAGTCAGGACCATCCAGATGAGCAGAACAGGAAGACAGTGACCGGGAAGGAGAAAGAGCATTTTCGAGGTGGGACCTGAGAGTCAATAGGAGATGTGCCTAAGCCACCCCTTTGGGGCATAGGGAAGCCCTGCCTCTTCCCAGTGTAGCTACCCAGGTCTGGCCAGTGTCACCATCGATGCTGGGACCTTCAGAATATCTGTGAGGAACACAACAAGAGTCATGGAGTTCTGGCTGGCAGAGTGACAGATGAATCCATCATCAGTGAGCCCTGAGTTGGCACCATGGCAATCTGGCTGTGATGGATCCTGGCTGTGGACAGCCCCAGCCCTGGGCAGCAGCTCCAAGAACTGCACTGGGAAGTCAGCACTGTGGGGCAGGGCCATAAGGGCTGAGCTCTTCACACTGTGGACACAGCACAGAGCTGGTCAGGTCTTGAACAGGACAGTCTGGAAAGAATCGAGAAGCTGCCTCTCATTGCATGGAGAGTGAAGGCTGCTGGCTTTTCTCATGAGCAGGATTTTACCAGAAGCCAGAGGCAGGCCTTCTGGAACCGTCAGGGGGCCCCAGAGCCCCACTCCATCATGGGCCAGCACCAGCTGCTTGTTCCGCCTGTGCATTCTCCCCCTGCCCCACCTGCCAGCTCAGGCTCCTGTGACAGCTGGATGTTCCTCTTACTGCACCATGGCTATGTATCCAAAGGAGAGAGGGGTGAGCATCATGCCTTGCCTAAGCCCTGGTGACTTGGACCCTGTACATTACAATCAAGGTTCCGTTGGTGTTGAAAACGAGGGACCGTCACACCACAAGCCAGCTTCCTTGATGGAAGGCATAGTTTCTCTGACAGAACCAGCCCTCCTGGAGCAGGTGGGTGGTCGTAAGGTTAGCAGAGTTTGTGGTCCTGAGTCCAGGTGCCCCTGCTCCAGTGTGCAAGGAAATCAGCTGAAGGTGGTCCTGTTGACATCTGGGACCTCCCACCTGTGCTTAATGGTTGTGATGGGTATGAAGATGAAGGATGTGAGGAACAGGGTCCAGGAGAGCCAGTAGGTAGATAGGAATGGACTGGCCAGAAATAACTGGAAGATTTGGCTCCTGTAGACTTCTGACCTTGTCACAGGCAGCTTGAAATATGGTGGTGGGGGAGGGGGAGAGGTTCTAGGCCAGTGCCTTGGTTGGTGAATGTCTAGAGACCTGTAGCTCCGAAAGGTTTATGTGACCTGAATCTTGTCCTACTCATGGCTGTGGGGGTCCCTCTCTGCACTGCTCCCAGGGACTCTCCCTACTTCCTAGGGATCTCAGCTTTTCAGGATAGGAGCAGAGAAAAGCCCAGATTTCCTTCCCCGAGGTGCAGACTTGCGTATGGGCAGCGCCCTTTAGCTCAGCCCTAGCTCAGTTGTGTGACTGTGCAGTGGCAACAGGGGCCTTGCCCATAGCTGGAGCTTTGTGGGCCAGCTGGTGTGATGATCTTGGGGCAAGCTGACTACCTGTCTTGACAGGACTCAGTTGAGGCAGGACTTAGGACAGAGGTGGGCAGAGTGAATAGCTTTGGGCAGGGGACAGTAGGAGATGGAACTGCATTCAGGGTCCCCATGTACCTGAGGCCCTGGACTACGGGTGACCTGGTGGGGCTGTGAGGACAGTCCTTTCGTGACTCTGTGATGGTGCAGAGAGCAGGCATATGGCCTCCAGTTCCTCCTGCAGGAGACTCTGACCAGATCTGCTGTCTTCCTGGCACCTTCTCCAGGGTGAGATGAGGAACTCACAGGCCAGGGCCAAACTGACCCCCAGGACCTCACTACAGACATTGGGGATGGAGAATAGGCAATTTGTCCTTGTAGTCGTTTCTGATTCTTGTGGGCCTGGTGTTTTGGTGTCACTATGTGCAGGTGGAGGCTGTTCCTGTGAGGCGGAGGGCAGGAGGAGATACTCTCGGGGGCCTCTCCTTGTCATCAGAGATCATGTTTATAGGAATGTGCTTTGAGGGCTCCTGAGGACAGGCATTTTTATCCACCTGAGCCAGCCACAGGGCTGAGAACCTGTAGGGCACCCTGCCACCACTCATTATCAGCCCTGTCTCATGTCTGCTCCCACGCTTTCCTGTCTTTGGGACAAATGGGTCATCCTTACCATCTCCTTTTCCACTAGGATTTTCTCATCTTTCCTAACCAGATTTGAGGCAGTCAGTTCAGACAGGAGCACACACAGGAGCAAATACATTGTTGTCTTGGGCTCTGTAGGCTGTGGGGAGGCTGCCCTACTCCTCCTGTTATGGCTGTGGTACTGTCCCCAGATCCACAGGCCCACATAGCTAGGTCCTAGTTCATGTCTCCCCTACATAGCGCTGGCCCTCCAGTGCTACTGCCCAATGGGGCCATCTAGGTTAGGCACAGAGGAGTGGCTTTCAAAGATGCCCACACCCTGACTGGTGCTGGGTCCTAAGGGTGTGTTCTGTTACATAGTAAAAGGGACGTTGCAGATGGAATTAAGGTTAGGAGCCTGAGAATTGGAAAGGGTCCTAGACTGTCTGGGTGGGCTGGCTGCAGCACAGGGCCCTGCAGACATGGATGAGGGGGCTAGAGTGTGACCATGACTGAACCCTCATTGCTGGCTTAAACATGAGGCGCCACAAGACAACACTGGTGATTGAACGTGAGAACAACCCCACCCAACAAAGAAGCAGGGATGTTGCTCCCACAGCCACCGGAGATGAACTTGGCAATAGCCTGAATGAGCAGGAGACAGAACCATCAGCAGGATCCTAACCTGAGGACACCTGGACTTGGTCTGTGTGACTCTGAGTCGAGTCAACCAGCCATACTGTGTCCTAGCTGAGGTCCATAGTGCTTTATGGTCATGAGTTTGTGCACAAAGCCATGAAATCTGATGGGTGTGTGACAAAGCCCTTGAGGTATGGTCGGGTTCAAAGGAAGCCACTACAGGGGACGATGCTACCTTCTCTGGGCATAGGACTGTTCTGAAGTGGACCACGTGGCAGCCTTGGTGGAGTCTCTACATCAGGGGCAGACATCTCCTCCATCATCAGCAATTCCAAACCCTGTCTACTTCCTGTGAGGTCAGGAACACATTTAGCCATAATGTTCCTTGGGGTTTGGTGAAAATCAACTTCCTTTTTATTTGTGATAAAACTGTATTATATTGCCTTATTTATTTTTAATCTTGTACAATATTCATGTACAAATGGTAGAGCCATTCGGGTAGGATTCTTCTCTAAATTATTTATTTTAAGATGCTCTGTATATAGTGCACCAATTACAGGTGCTGCCTGTTCACTTGTACCAAAAATGAGGAAAAGCCCGGCACCCACATCAACCCCTGCACGGTGATGCCGTGGCCCTTGGGAAATGACCCTGCGTGTTCCCTTCCGAACCCTCGCATGCCTCCCGTGCCTGACACTGTAGAGTAGAACACAGCCCCAGAATGCTTCCAAATGCTTCCACAGGCTGCGCCAACCCAGGCCAGTCCACTCCTTACACCCAGCAACCCAGTTGCCAGCCCGTGTTTCTCAAACTCTAAGCCTCCAGGGCTTCCGGACCCCTTCTGTCATAGAAGCAATAATTGTAACTCTATACTGTAGAGACGAGTCTGGCTTGAGCAGATTGATAATTCAGATAAGCCATGCATACAAGTTTGCTGTGGGGGACTGCTACTCCCAAAGCCCCCAACCTTCTGAGGACCCAGCTTTGGCAACCTAGTTCTTAGGGTTGAGCTCACTCCCCAGGCAGGTGAGCAGATCAATCTAGCATCTAACCTAAGTCCCCACACTTTTGGTCAGGAGAGGAAGGAGGAGTGAGGGCACCAGCCCCCATCCAAACTCTCTTCTGATTCTTGAATGTCAACGCTGGTCTCATGTGACGGAGGGTGGTAAGCTCCATGGTTTGTCCTAGCAGAGCATTCAAGAATAACATTTCAAGGCTTACCTATGGTATCCCATTTTTTAAAAAGTGATGGTGTCTGGAAGGGTGCTCTCCTCACCTTGCACTTGACCTACTGGCAAGAGAAGAGCCCTCAGGGCAGGATGCCTGTCTTCCCTGGATGAATACAACTGTACAGCAGGAAAGGCTGGGGCGCTTTGATTGATGTGGAGAATTCAGTGCTTGGCAGGATGTGGCTAACCTTAAGTGACTCTGTGTTTTATTTGTATCTCACAGAAAGTCTGTGCCATCATCCTTATAGTAACCTGGAAAGATTGTATAGACTGCTTGCTTTAATGGGCCACTTAAGAAGGAAGTGGTTTGGATTGGTGAAATGAAGGGTGTGTGGAGGGCTTCACCTGGGAACGTGCACCTGTCACTGCTCCAGCAGGGAGGTTTCTGGAACTCCCCAAATCCCAGGTATCTTGTTCACAACCCATGCAGGGCCTGTCCAATGACATGCATGGTTTATAAAGCAAGTGTGCACCCATAACTGTGCATGTTACAGAAAAAGAAAGAACATGCTTGCATATATTGTACATCTTACAGTACAAGAGGTCCCAGAAGTGCTAGTAGTACTTAAAGTTCTGAAAACCTGCAGATTTGATGGCTGTATATAAAGTAACCCTCCAGAAACATGGTTTAGTAATGACTTCAATTTTTTAAAAATATACACGTGTGCGCACACGCGCGCACACACACACACACACACACACACAATCCTTCATAGAGGTAACTGGATTTCAAAATATTTGGTTCAGTAAAATAAATAAAGAGCAAACTGACTGGGCCACATTCTGGCAGCCTGGATGTTGCATGGCATAACTTTTTCTCCGGACCCTGGGACATGCTGCCTCCCTAGCTACAGTATGCTTTGAAAGTTCAGCTGACCAATAGGTCCTTGTTTTCATTCAGAACTCCAGGTTTGAGAACGGAATGGATAATGGAAGTGGGATTGTTTCTTCATATGATACCTTGAGTGAGGTCTGTGTTTGC